ATTGTATTTAGATTTGTTTAGGATTTAAAAGTGTTTTTAGTTTTTAAATATTATTATTAATATTTTTAAGACAAAATAATTTGTTTAATTAAATGTGCTTAGATTTGTTTAGGACTTATAGGTTTTTTAAGTTTTTGTTTTTTTTTTTTTTTTTTCTTTTTGGATAGGAGAGAAGATTATGAAGATTGAAGGAAATATGTACTTACTTTAAGTTCTTTAAGAGTATTTAGCTTTAATGGTATAACAAAGATTTGTATGTTTATTTTTTCGTTTTAGGATAAAGAAAGAGGGAGAAATTAGATTTTATATTATAGATATAGATATTCAAAGAAAGTAATGTTTAAATTTGTGTTTTTGGAGGGAGCTTATATAGAATGATGATTGTATTTAAATTTGTTTAGGTTTTAAAAGTGTTTTAAGTTTTTTTTTTTTTTTAATTAAGCCTGTACTCAGCTCTGGGAAGTCCAGGGGAGGGTTTGGGAGGTTGGGAAGGGGGGGGGTGAGGTAGGGGGGGGTATGGGAAGGGGATTTGTTTTTGTAAAATGTAAAAATTTTCAATAAAAAAAAAAAAAAAAAGAAATCAGTTTAGAAACAGTGTTAGAAGAAAACAGTATATAAAATTCAGAAATGAGAAACACTTAAGAGATGAAATACTCAAAGAAATATACTGTGCTATACTGTTGGCCCCAGATATTACATCAGTTGTTGTTCTTAATTGCGAAGTCGTGTCTGACCCATCGCGACCCCATGGACAACGTTCCTCCAGGTCTTCCTGTCCTCTACCAACTTCTGGAGTCCATTTAAATTCAACCTACTGCTTCAGTGACTCCATCCAGCCATCTCATTCTCTGTCATCCCCTTCTTCTATTGCCCTCCATCTTTCCCAGCATTAGGCTCTTCTCCAGTGAATCCTTCCTTCTCATTAGGTGGCCAAAATATTTGAGTTTCAACTTCAGGATTTGGCCTCCTAAAGAGCAGTCGGGGTTGATCTCTTCTAGGACTGACCGGTTTGAACGCCTTGCAGTCCAAGGGACTTGCAGGAGTCTTCTCCAGCACCATAGTTCAAAGGCCTCAATTCTTTGGCGCTCAGCCTTTCTTATGGTCCAACTTTCACAGCCATACATTGCAACTGGGAAAACCATGGCCTGGACTATACGCACTTTTGTTGGCAGGGTGATGTCTCTGCTTTTTAGTATGCTGTCTAGATTTGCCATAGCTTTCCTCCCCAGGAGCAAGCGTCTTTTAATTTCTTGGCTGCAGTCCCCATCTGAGGTGATCTTTGAGCCCAGAAAAATAAAATCTGTCACTACCTCCATTTCTTCCCCATCTATTTGCCAGGAATTGAGAGGCTGGATGCCATGATTTTGGTTTTCTTAATGTTGAGTTTCAAGCCAACTTTTGCACTCTCCTTCTTCACCCGCATCAAGAGGCTCTTTAGTTCCTCTTCACTTTCTGCCATTAGAGTGGTATCATCTGCATATCTTAGGTTGTTGATATTTCTCCCGGCAATCTTAATTCCAACTTTTGATTCATCTAGCCCTGCCTTTCTCATGATGTGCTCTGCATATAAGTTAAATAGGCAGGGCGACAGTATACAGCCTTGCCGGACTCCTTTTCCAATTTTGAACCAATCAGTGGTTCCGTGTTCGTTCTCACTGTTGCTTCTTGACCCGCATATAGGTTTCTCAAGAGACAAATGAGATGGTCTGGTACTCCCATCTCTTTAAGAACTTGCCACAATTTGTTGTGATCCACACAATCAAAGGCTTTAGCATAGTCAATGAAGCAGAAGTAGATGTTTTTCTGGAACTCCCTAGCTTTCTCCATGATCCAGCATATGTTGGCAATTTGATCTCTAGTTCCTCTGCCTCTTCGAAATCCTGCCTGTACTTCTGGTAGTTCTCGATCCACATACTGCTGGAGTCTAGCTTGTAGGATTTTAAGCATAACTTTACTAGCATGTGAAATGAGTGCAATGGTGCGATAGTTTGAACATTCTTTGGCATTGCCTTTCTTTGGAATTGGAATGTAAACTGACCTTTTCCAATCCTGTGGCCACTGTTGAGTTTTCCAAATTTGCTGGCAAATTGAGTGTAGCACTTTTACTGCATCGTCTTTTAAGATTTTGAATAGCTCAGCTGGAATACTGTCACCTCCACTAGCTTTGTTGTTGCTCAGATTTTCTAAGGCCCATTTCACTTCACATTCTAGGATGTCTGGTTCGAGGTCAGTGACCATCTCATTGTGGTTATCTGGGATGTTAAGCTCATTCTTGTATAGTTCTTCTGTGTAGTTTTGCCATCTCTTCTTAATCTCTTCTGCCTCTGTTAGGTCTCTGCCATTTTGGTCCTTTATCATGCCCATCTTTGCATGAAACGTTCCCTTCATATCTCCAATTTTCTTGAAGAGATCTCTGGTCCTCCCTATTCTGTTGTTTTCTTCTATTTCTTTGCACTGTTCATTTAAGAAGGCATTCTTATCTCTTCTAGCTACTCTCTGGAATTCTGCATTCAATTGGGTGTATCTTTCTCTTTATCCTTTGCCTTTCGCTTCCCTTCTTTCCTCAGCTATTTGCAAAGCTTCCTCAGACGCCATTTTGCTTTCTTGCATTTCTTTTTCTTTGGGATGGTTTTAGTTGCTACCTCTTGTACAATGTTGCGAACTTCCATCCATAGTTCTTCAGGCACTCTGTCTATCAGATCCAGTTCCTTAAATCTATTTGTCACCTCTACTGTATATTCATCAGGAATATGATTTAGTTCATACCTGAGTGGCCTAGTGCTTTTCCCTACTTTTTTTCAATTTAAGCCTAAATTTTGCAACGAGAAGCTCATGATCTGAGCCACAGTCAGCTCCTGGTCTTGTTTTTACTGACTGTATACAGCTTCTCCATCTTTGGCTGCAGAGCACATAGTCAATCTGATTTCTATGTTGACCATCTGGTGATGTCCATGTGTAGAGCCATCTCTTGGGTTGTTGGAAAAGAGTGTTTGTTATGACCATCATATTCTCTTGACAAAATTCTATTAGCCTGTGCCCTGCTTCATTTTGTACTCCAAGGCCAAACTTGCTTGTTATTCCGGTTATCTTTTGGCTTCCTACCTTAGCATTCCAATCCCCCATGATGATAAGGACATCATTTTTTGGTGTTAATTCTATAAGATGCTGTAGGGCTTCATAGAACCGGTCAATTTCATCCTCTTCAGCACCAGTGGTTGGGGCATAGATTTGGACTATTGTGATATTGAATGGTTTGCCTTGGATTCGAATTGAGATCATTCTGTCATTTTGGGGATTGTATCCCAGTATTGCTTTTCCTATTCTTTTATTGACTATGAAGGCTACTCCATTTCTTCTGAGGGATTCTTGCCCACAGTAGTATACCTGATGGTCATCTGAGTTAAATTCACCCATTCCTGTCCATTTTAGTTCGCTGATTCCTAAGATGTCGATGTTCAGTCTTGTCATCTCTTTTTTGACTACGTCTAGCTTGCCTTGATTCATGGATCTTACATTCCAGGTTCCTATGGAGAAAAAATCTTTACAGCATCGGACTTTCCTTTCACCACCAGATATATCCACAGCTGAGTGTCCTTTCGGCTTTGGCCCAGTCGCTTCATTCTTTCTGGCGCTACTAGTACTAGCCCTCTGCTCTTCCCCAGTAGCATATTGGATACCTTCCGACCTGAGGGGCTCATCTTCCAGCGTCAGTAGGATTCCCAAAACTTGCCTAGTTTCAGTCATTTCTATCAAGTTATTTTAAAATAAATATGGATATTTGTTGCTAGAAGGGAATAAAAGAATGAGCAAACATAGGATGTTTACTTCATATAAGCACGTTCCCTACAAGCATCTGATACAAAGAAAAGACAACCCAATTCATAGTGATAGCAACTCAGAAAATTTGGTTTGCAGCAGCTAATAAGAGAAATTAATGTTAACTTAGTTTATAATAAATAACCCAAGATCTGAAAGCATAATGAAAGAGCAAGGAACTCTTTACACTGTCAGGATCACCAGAAAAGAATTGACTCCAAGCTATTGTATCATTTGATAACAGATCCCATGAAACTTAATATGTGGCTTTCTTTTCAAGTAATGGTCACAGATTTGCACTGGAAACTGAAAGATGTTACCAAATAATTTACATAATTAGAGAGACTTCTGCTGTTGTATAACAAACAATTTGCAGTTTTTGCATAGAGATGAGCCAAAAGGTTCTTGCGAAGAAAGTTTTCATTTAACAAAGACAGAAAGTGGCTGAGGTTAGTTGAACAGCTGAGGTCTAAAGAAAGCCAACAAAAGTCTATCCTGCTTTATTAGCACTAAAGCTGTTGTTCCAGATTATGTGAAAGAATGCCTTCTATTCCAGGCATCAGCAATATTTGAGAGGCTAGTGACTAGAAGCAGACTTTTGGTTAGAAGAAGGGAAAAGAAGAGATTGATTTTTTTCCAAATCATTGCATCTACTGCAAGATTGATCTGGAGATGTGATGTACCTTCTAGAACAGCTTCAGATAATCAGATATTTTAAATTTCAAATGATAAAAATTGGACATACTGTACTTTGAGGTGGTAAGGGGACTGATAGAAATCAAATTTCAAAATATTGAGCAGACATCAGGTTTCTCCTGCTCTAATGGAGAACTGCAAACAATATCCTTCATTCCTTAATAAGAGGCTCCACTGAATCTTGGTCTGTTCTATAAACTGGAATGAAGACTTCAGTTCAGGTAAGGAAAAGTCTACATCCAATTCATTGAATAGGTTCAGGTGATTTTCTAAGCATAGCTCAGGTACAGGAATATCAGGCCTCTAAGATTTCTAGGAATCAATTAAAGTATTAAAAAAATGAAATGTTACTGAAGTAGAGCCAGCTATCCTAACAGACACATTTGCTTTCTGTTGGTAAGGTTTCAAGGGGATAATGTATGGGGCTGCATCTGCTTCTAAATTTAAATGAACTAAGTAAGTATGAATATGCTTCTTTTTCATACAAGGTTCAGAGAGTCCTCAGCAGAAAGCAAGAACTGCTTAAAAAGAATCAAAGAAAAGGCAATGGTGCAGAAGAGTTGTGGTAATTGCTCTGAATTAGTCAAAGACAAGTGAAGGTAACTGGTCAAATTTATTTTTCTTTTTTTAATGTAAAGTTATTGCAAAGCTATGAACAAAATAAAAACAGACCTACAACCGATCTCCAGATTATTCAGAGAATAATCTTTCAATTGATGAACCAGTAATATACATAAGAGACTGCCTGGTTATATTTCTCTAAAAGGACTTTCATAGATTCACACTGGTAAACCATTGGAAGATTTCTTCATAATATCTCTGTTTTCTTCTAAAATATAAAAAACCCATTTGTATCTCCCTCAAAAAGCAATATATTATTTTACATTCAATATATGATGTTACTGATTTAATTTTAGGTTGGGGATTTAGAAAATCATTTTTCACTGGCATTTATATAGGTATCTCTCCAACTTGGTGCTCTTTCCTGATGCGTAGGACTTCCACTCTAATAATCCTTCTAGTGACACAGGTTAAATGCTGACAAGATCTCTTTAGCCCAAATCCTTAAAGCAATCTTCTCCATCCTGGTTTGGTAATTCTTATCCTTAACTTTCCTAGACTGTTTATTTGAAGATTGGAATAAGATTGCCCCAAACAACTGAATTACATTGAACAATCAAATATTAACTTCACTCTTCTATTACTTTGTTCTCTTCCCAAGAATGTGTGTTTTTTAAAACAAAAACAAAAACAGCTGAGATTGAAACACAGGGCATCCTCTGATGTACATTGTTTATAAAGGTTTTGGAGGAAAGAGGGGAAAATCACCCGAGAATGATGGAAGGAGTATTTGAAAATCTTCTGGAAGAGGTGGCAGGGGACAGTTGTTTATTTTACAATGTTTGTAACTCACCTGAGTTCCAAAGAATTTTGCAATATCAAACCAAAAAACAAACAATGAATCAACAGTATAATAACTAAATCCAAATGACTATGAAGAACAAAATATAAGCACAAAGGGAAGAAAACCAAACCAAACCCAAGATAGGTGTCCACATTCAGTCAGCTGTGACTGAAAGTACATTGAAATAAAATAGCTTGAATTTGTTTATAGAACTGCAATGAAATAGGGGATGCATCCGGCATATGGGTGAAGGGCTATCACAGAGAAGTATATTGATATGAGTATTGAGCTGAAACTAAGGAGGAATATAAATGCCAAGAGGATTTTATGAGCACAGGCTCGTTCTCCATAGAAAAAATGATGGGATGTAAGTGGAAGCAAGCAAGCAGACAATAAATAAATAAATACATAAATAAGTAAAGGTTCAACAGAATGCTCCATTTACTGAAATGTTATATTACCCATTATACATCTCAATATTTTTATAGATTTCTGTGTATGCAATTCTTAGACATTTCACAACACTTTTCCAATTTCTGCAAAGTTATTTCTTTGCAGGGTTTCTTTTTAGGGACTTATTTTTGAATTGTGCTGCTGCTGCTCCCAGTTTCTCCAATCCTTTGCAAGTTCTCCCTGTAATTAATATTTCCCACCTGGCATGGAATTCATGCATGGAGAGGGATTTTCCATTTCTTCTCTGCCCTTTCCCATATTGAGGTCAGCCGTGGAAGATGGGACAAAACTTTATAAAGTTTCTGGTTACAGTTCATGAATTTAGATGTTCGTTTACTTACCTAGCTATTTAACAAAATAACAGTGTTGGAAACGACCTTAGAGGTCTTCTAATCCAACCCCTTGCTCAAGCCTGTACCAGTTTAGACAAATTTGTCCAGTGTCTTCTTAAAAATCTTCAGTGTTGGAGTACCCACAACCCCTGGGGGCAAATTGTTTCACTGTTTAATTGTGCTGTCAGGAAATTTCTCCCTAGTTCTAAGTTTCTTCTCTCCTTGATTAGGTTCCATCCAATGCTTGTCCTTCCTTCAAAAAATAGTTTGGCTCCCTCTCCTCTGTGGCAGCCCCTTAGATATTGTAACACAGCTATCATGTCATCCCTAGTCCTTCTTTTCGCTAGACTTGACATATCCAGTTCCTGCAATTGTTCTTCTAAACTTTCTAAAATATTTGTGTGGTATTAGACAAATATATGATCTAGAAGGGGTGAAAAACAATATACTACTTGGAGTTCCTTTCTTGTCCCCTTGAAAATGAAGGAAAATGAAGGGATTTTATCAGTTCTAGGATCTGTGTGTCGTAATTGCATTGAGGGATGCAATAGAGGGAAAAACAATCACTGGTTAGGTTAGATTTCTCAGAAAATATACTAGCATGTCCTAGCCTTTAATATGGATAGAATATAGTAGTTTTGCAGCACAACAGATGGCTGTCTGAAAGGATCATCGTAAGGTTTAAGTTTGTCATAAGAACAGATAGTTTTTTCTGTCACATTGAAAAACCAATCACTGTATAACCCAGTAAATAAAATAATTCAATTTGCTAATAAAATATAATGAATCAGTATACCTAGAAGATGTTATTGAGCAGAATGAACATTGAGCATTTCTGATTTTTATTCAGTTCATATATATTTCTTCCAGTAGCACGGACTATTTTTAGAAGTGCGCATGCATTAGAATATCTTGTAGAAAACAACTGATTTTTTTTGTTGTTTACAAATTGTCATAATTGCAATGGGCATTTCTTTTTAATGGATATTTATTTTGCTAATTTGAGTAAATGTACATGAGAATTCTCATTAATAGAGGACCCCCCAATAAAGAATAAAAAGGTTCAAAGCAATTGTGTACTTTTGGTAGCCATGCTGGGGCTTGCTTTTTGAAATGTATTTGTTTTCTTCTTCTTTTAAATGATATCCTGCTGTTATTATTTAAACAAAAGCAGTGTTGGAAACAATTGCTGTAAATGACCCTTCTAACCGCTGTAATTATGCCAACAAGCCTCACCTATTTTACTTAATGGGATTCTATGTTTAAACATATGTCAGGAAAGATAATTGCTCTCCTGTATAAGAGATTAAATGAATAGAATGTTTGTTTTACCACTTACTGCATAGGTCAGCCAGCCCAAATCTGGTGTTGTCCAGCTGGCCTTGACTGACTTGCAATCATACAAAGCAAAATTATTCTGGATTCTGAAAGGTTATTTTTTCACCTAAAATACATTTCATTTATTATTCATAGAAACATCTTAATAACTTTGCAAGTAGGTGCACGTGACATTGTGATCCACATACAAAAGCAGAGGAGCTTGAACTGTGAGGCCATGATGCAGGATGACTCATTCTGCTCCCCATTGGCCCCTCATCCCCAGAGATGGTACTGGAATGTGACTAGCCCATTTAATTCCTATGAATATTAACTTTAGTAATACTTTATCAAGTTATTATTTGCTGAATGTTCTACAGCAGTACAATTAATAACAGGGAATAGAAGAAATATTTATTTATTTATTTAAAATGTTTACAGCTTGTTTGCCCTTTATCCAGAGGACGTTGTGGTAACTACAGTCCAGATATGATATCCGAGAATGAGGCTTTAGACATAAGAGACAATTTGCCCTCTGCAGGTGAAAGAAGTCAAGGTGTGTGTGAAATTAAACTGTGAGATTTAACATTTTTATTCAGTTTTTATGTTGTTAATTTAGTTGTACACCACCCCAAGTCCTGCTGTGGGGGAGATGGGTGTTTCCTAGATATAAATACATGATAGATAGATAGATAGATAGATAGATAGATAGATAGATAGATAGATAGATAGATGATGGATGGATAGATAATACTCAGTAGAAAGGAGAACTATGTTTCAATAGCATACCATCTTTTAGATCTTGTAATAATAATTTCACCATGTAAGATAACAGGCTGTCTAGAAGGAGAAAGATAGAAAAAACTAAATATCCTAAGATGCAATCCTGTAGATGTCTTTCAAGAACAGGTCTCACTAAGTTTAATGAACCTTATTCCCAGGTTTAAGCTTGTAGTTAGTCCAGCATTTTATATGTTTTACTGATCAGACTTTACATCAGGATAGTTTTCTAGAAACTTGACTACTCGTCAGTAATTGGCTTAACAAAGCAGAAGACTCTCCAACTTGAGTCAACTGCATCAAAAACTTCATGATATCCAAGAATGATGCTTTAGATTTAGGAGATTATTTGCCCTCTGCAGGAGAAAGAACTCAAAGTCTGTGTCTGTGTTCCAGAAATTAAACTGTGGGATTTTCTTTCATCCTTCCAAGTTATTACATACTTGGCTGTTCTCTGGAGGGCCTTGTGGTGAATTATATCGACATAAGGGTATTCCACAGCCTGAAAACCATGGTTGCCATCTCACCAAATTCCTATTTTGCTTGGAGGCAAGACTTTTCACAAATAACAACCTGAGATTATATGGGGCTTCACAATTCTTAATGGAAGAGAGTCAGCGGAAATAAATGTTTCTGCTTATAATAATGGAGAAATGTATTGTATATGTTGAAAGAACTGGAGAGAGTTATCAGTATAAAATAAGTATCTATATACTAGATCTTATTCACAGAGTAAAATAATCTACATTTAACCATGAGGTACTGTAGGATATAAGCATAGGCATGAATGAGCCAAGTAACAAAATGCACAACACATCATCCAAAATACGAGCTCTCACACTCTTTTTTGTATTCCATACCAGTAGTAAAGGGCAGAGTTTGTGCCATGACATAACAACACACATTTCATAATGTTGATGAAAGCTCAGTTTGTTGTTGACACCAAAGAATATAAATAAGAGAGCTTAATGCTCTGTTTTCAGTAGCAAAAAACAGAGCATAACAGTTGTGTGCCAAATCAATTTAAAGCAGTGGTTCTCAACCTGTGGGTCGGGACCCCATTTGGGGTTGAACGACCATTTCATGGGGGTCACCAAACAAGGCTGTCCACCATTTTTCCCCCTTTTCTTTGGCCACGCCCCTGGCACCCGGTGATGTATAAGTGGTTGGGGGTCACCACAACATGGGGAACTGTATTATGGGGTCGCGGCATTAGAAAGGTTGAGAACCACTGATTTAAAGGAAAATAGAATCGATTCTATTCTGACTGCCATACATTAGAAGCACAGTTGGTAACAAAAATGACACCTAGTCTATTTGGACTCCTTCAGATCTATTTGATCATTGACATGCATTTTCAATTGTGAAAGAAGTTGGGATTGCTGCCTGTACTGTGGGAAAAACAGTAGAGTCAGACAAAAACACTTCCCGTGCACCTTTCTCGTGTATTCAGATCTGCACTAATACATTTACACTTAAGCTGGTGTTGCAGCTGCCTGGGCTCACTGAGCCACACCCTGGTGCTTTCAAGGATGTGCTGGCATCCAGAGGCAGCTTCAACCCACCCAGCCTTTTGAGCTTACAAAAGCAAATGCTAAGACAGAGTAGGAAAATGGGTGTGTGTAGGAGGAAAGGTGAATGAAAACAGCCTACACATGAGGAAGCAGAGGTGATGTCTGAAGATTGGCAGGTCTTAGGGCTAAGCGGTTAAAGATGCTGAGCTTGTCAGCTGGAAAGTTGATAGCCCAGGTTTGAGACCCAAGCACCATGTAATGAGGTGAGCTCCCGTTCTTGCCCCAGCTTCTATCCACCTAGCAGTTTGAAAGTATGCAAATGTGAGTAGATTAATAGGTACCACTTTGGTGGTAAGATAACAGCATTCCATGAGCCTTTGGCATATAGCCATGCTGATCACATGACCACAGAATATGTCTTCAGACAGCACAGGCTCCCTCGGCCAAGATATGAAGTTGAGCACTATGCTCTGAGCTGGACATGACTAGAGAAAGAGAAACACTTACATTTTACTAGCAAACAAGAGGTTTTTCATTCAATTGCCAGGACCACAAGCTATGGTAAGCAGCTTATCCTGGTGAGAATTCTGCCTGAAGCTTGGAGCTTTACCTGAAGCTCGGCAGCAACTAAAAAAGGAGCAACAACACTGAAATAATAGTTCATTTCAATAGTATAAGAATGTTTGGAGAAATGCAAAGGATGTATGTTAATTTAAAGACTTATAGACTTTGGTTTGAATTAAAAGAATGTGGTATTAAAGGATTGAGTACTAACAACATATTTATGTGGCAACATCATATATTATTATTATTATTATTATTATTATCATCATCATCATCATCATCATCCTGCAAAGCCTAGAAGGGTGGAGTTGACCCAGAACAATAGCCTGTTGTTGGAGAAGATGTGTGTTGCAATAAAGCATTTTGTACAGATTTGCTATGCTGTGGAGTGTCCAAGCCTTGAAGAACAAAGAACTCTGACATCTATAATGTAACAAGAGATTGTTTTAAAATAAATGCCATAAAATTAGAGTTATCTCTAAGTCTAAAATATCTTATCGGACATTAGAGCAAGACAACATTGAGTCTTGCAAATTATTTCCTTGTTCCTGTGTTTTCAGATCTTTAGATTTTGGCTATCTTCTTACCAAGTTTACTGAAAAAAGAATAAATAGAATATTTATGTGAAAAATGCAAATAAGGAAGTGGGAGAGAAAAGGATAAAATGTGCCTGGATTTTTAAAGAACAGCCGGTTGTGGGGTGTTTGTTACAAAATTCCACTTTTTTATTGATTACATTTTTTTTTCATCTCCATCCCTCCCCACTTCTCTTTCCCTTTTCTCTTTACATGGTTAGGATTTAAAAAAGAATAACTAAATGGATATAGAAGATAAAAGGCAATGATTTATCAAACACATACATCATATAATATAGTTTTGAAATGTCTCTCAAATTCTCACTGATGGCTTTTCCTTCTGGAGTGGTCCAAATTACATGTAATCTTTATTTCTGTTTAACAACAAAACACCTTCCTGCCATAAATAATAATTAGTTTACTTTTCATCAGGGGAGATGATGTTTAAAGTCTTTCATTTCTTTTAAAAATCCTAAGGGTATATTATTTGGTTGTTTATCTTGTTTGACTTTGTAATCTGATAAATTAAGGATCAATGTTAATATCTGGAAACTATATTAAAAGATGCAAAAAGGCCTTCAACACAAATCCTCCATAGATTCCTTCTGAATATACTGAAGAATTTCAGTGGTAGTTAATCTCATTAAAAGGATTGTTTTCCAAACTAAAGGCCATCTCCATTGATACACATCAAAGATAAATTATGTCTTCACTAGGCTTATCCTTTGCAATATATGATTGGCCTTTCTGTGCTATGCAGTCCGCTTAAGCAATCCCAGCTCAACATGTTTTTTATTCTCTTCCAGACCTCCCCAAACAAACCTGCTTATTATCATAAGGAAGAAGACTTCTCACAGACTCTTGCTGTTTGCTGATTCTACTGCAGCAAAACTGACCTAAAATATGACCATTAAAGATGCTAATTTCATTGTGTATCTTCCCCAGTTGTACAGGAAGAGCAGAAGAGAAATCAAGAGGACAGTAACTGAACAAAAGAAAACACTTCATTGGAAATATGGAAACATAGCTTCTATGATGAACCTCCTTCAGAGTTATGGGTCTAGCTGAGGAGTCTGAATTGGAGGGCTTGACAGCTTCTTGCCATGCAACTCAAGAACCAGGGAATTGTGCTGCTTAGAAAGGGCAGGATTTCTTGGAACATGGGCTTACAACTCTGAAGCAGTCAGGTTATCAGCTACCTATTGCAGAAGAATACTACTTGGCTGAGTCACCTGACCTATAGCCTGGTCAGAAAAGGATCCTCAGTCTTTGTACCTACAGAAAGATTGAATGGATTGTTCAATTAGATTCCTCAAAAGAAAATGGCATGAATCAGGAGAACAGGCATGTCATACCCAATGCTACAAAATTAATGCAAACTTTTGTTCCAAACAACTTTTTTAAATGTCACTGTTGTATTGATATTTCAGAATTAAGGAATTTTAAAATGAAAGATAAAAAACTAAAAGGATTAATATTTAGAATGAAAAAGAAGAAAAAAGAAGAAAAAAAGACCATAAAGAAATTACTTCCTTTTTTTTTTTTTTACAACAGTTACAAGTGTAAAATGTAGACTGACCTTTTACTGTCTGGTTACAAGATTGTTTAATTTTTTTTCCCTATAATCTATTTTTCCATTCAAAACCATATGTCATAATTTCATTTTTTCCATTTTATGTAAAAAATAAATGAGGGGTTTCCAGTCAGCATTAAACTTAGGCAATGTCCTATCTCTAATTAAAATTGCCAGTTTGGCCATCTCCACAAATTCCATCATCTTTGCCATCCATTCCTTCATTGTGGGTAAAATCAAATCTTTTCACCTTTGTACATATAATAGTTTCACCACAGTTATCATATACAAAACCCAACATTTTGTTAGTTTTTTCTATCGGCTGATACATCAGGTCCAAAATGTTGCAAACAACTTTCTAGAGTGGACCTGATTACCTGAGCATGTACTGCTTCTGCCTGCTTGATTGATCTTTGGACTCTTGAACTAGGAATCCTGGCTTTGCCTATATGGAACCTTGGCTTCTAATATATTCTAACTAATTATTTTTTCCTGAGCTCTCCAATTCCTGTACTGCAGTGACATTTGTAGCTACTATAAAGAACTCTAATCTAAGCCTGACCTTCTGCACTTTTAATTGCTGGCACAGGTCTCTTGATTGGTGTTATAAATTCTGAACCTTTAGTCATTCTGGATGGGAATTCTGGGAAGTGAAAAGTTCTTTATAAGTGAGGATTCAGAGATAGCAAATTTGTTCCAAAACTTAGTCTAAGTTGATGCCACTTCACACCAGGTATATATTATTATTGTTGTTGTTATTGCAAAGTCAGCCAGATGTTCAGACTCTATTTGGCATTTTTTATCCACTTATCAAGCCCTTCCTATGGACCTGAGATAGATGTGGATGTTTGATGGTGTTGGAGCTAGATATAAGTTGTTCCAAGTAAAACTGTCTTTTGCAGTTGACTGACAGTGGTGGTGATGATGATGATTTAAATTTGTTTGCCACCCATCCCACCACAAGGGAACTCTGGGCAATTTACAATATTAAAATGAAATCATAAGCATTCCAAAATAATATTAATTGACAGAATCCAGGCTATGCATTATCACCCTGAATCTCTGTCTCTTTCAGGTGGACTTCTCTTCCATTTGCAAGGGGGGAATAAATGACAAACTTTTGTAACTTACAACTTGTGACATTAGAACACAAGTACTGAAGACCAGGAGTTGCATCGCACTGGTTTCATCATTTTTTTTCTTTATACAAGTAGTCCTTGATTTATGAGAGTAATTGATCTGCAGCTGTAAGTCATGTCAGTCATTAAGAGGGTCATCACATGACTGCACCTGATTTTATAACTTAAGCAATCAATTGTAAGCCAAGAATTTCCCTATAATTAGTGGCAGAGATATATCATTTACTCGTGGTAAGCCATGATTTAATATTGATTTACTGAATAAACCACATCAGTGTGCTTCAGACAAAATGCTAAGCCATGAACCAGGAAATATGATCTGACTATGTTAACACAAATCTATACATACTTCAGTGTGACTTGGCCCAACGTCCATTTTATCTCTTAATCTGCATGCCATGTTCTTAAAACCCTTTTCCATGTTTGTTAGTTGGATTATTCTCTTATAATCTGCATGTATAAACCAACACATGATAAAATATGAGAGATTTTTAGTGGTTCACAGTGGCACATATACAGAAAACCTGAATTTTTTATCTATTTTCTTGGAAGTAGCTCCTATTGAATTCAGCTAAATTTTCTGTGAAAAAGCATAAATTTGCCTGTGTTTTTGTTTAAGCTAAAATGTCACTTTGTATATGTTGTGTGTTGTATGTGTGTGTGTGTGAGAGAGAGAGAGAGAGAGGGAAAGGGGGGTAGATGAGGGGAAATTGGCATATGCATACATCATTAATTTGTTTCCGTAGGCTTTGTTCTGAAAAAGTACTAATTTACGCTCTAAAACAAAATGGCCTATTAATAATGTAGAATGTTTATACTACAGAAATAATATAGCTGACATAAAATATATACCTGAAAGCATTGATATAGAAACTGGGACAAAGTGTCTCCTGTCTCCATGTGAGTTTCACTAAAGATCCTCAGAACATCAGTTCCATCCATGTAACTAATGCTTACACTGGTGATTAATTACGGTTGTAATCCAGAGCAAAGTTCCTCATACTTTAATCCCATTGAAGAGCATTCAGCATGTGGAGGATTTCAGCGGAAACTACTCAATTACAGTAACTGAAAGAAGCAAATTGAAAATGCATATATCAAATAACAGTGAGAAGCAAATATTCCAGAACAGTTTGGATTTCCAGCATAGACAGGGGCAGCCTAGGCAGAATTTGCTGGAATATGTTATAGTTTGCTGATCCTTAGAGACCCCCGGCACATTCTGATAGGTAGGGCGAGGGGGTTATAAATCACAGATCTCTTTATGCTGGTTCTCCAATCTATGACAAATTTCATGGGGTAAGAGAAGCCACTTGTCTAAATAACTGACACGGAATTGCAAACAGTACATATTAAATGTAGGAGACACAGAAAGGAGCATGCTGCTGATGTCTTAAAATCCACATGGGGCTTTTTTGTAGGATACTTGTTTTTTACAAATTCTTTCTTGAGCAATGTTTCTCCTTCCCCCACATTTATGTGCAAAACAGGTCTTCAGAAAAATAGCCATGCCTCAGACTGAAACCATTCCTTTTTTTTTCTTTACTTGCCTCAGTGGTTCATACTAAAAGATTGATTTTTAAAACAGCAAGAAGCAACATTAACATAAATATGGCCAGATATTCCAAAGAATTTTAAAAAGCAGATAACCTAATCACTAAAAAGGACCTTTCTTGAATTATCTAAGAAATGTGTCTAACATATGTAATTGGCTGAAAATGAATTTAACAATGACAGCAAAATGTACCTGACTCACACAGTTTGAAATTCTTCCCAGATTGTGTCTTTACAAGAGGGTTAAATATGTTGGAAAATTACTGTGGATGATTTTCAGTTAAGTTTCCGTCCGGCACATGCTCATACAGTGCTTATATCCAGATCAGTGCAAGCACATAGGCTGCTCAACACAACTAGCAAAATTACAGTTTCATGTTCATTAAACTTCAGCAAATATTAAAAACAGTTAAATTGCAAAAACAGAACAAAGGACAGGAAAAAAGAGAGCAAGAAAGATAAACATACTCAGGGGAAAAAAATTACATGATATATTTTTTAAAAAGGACATAACTCTGCAGAACCGCTGGGGACAAGTTTTGAGAGTAATTAGAGAAATAAGTGGCTTTTGGTTTTTCCAGCTTTCACTCTTTCATGTACAAATTAACAACAGAATAAAGATGGAAATATGACATCAACAGATTCTTCTTCTATTTTGCACCATGAAAGCAAACAATTTTGGTGAACAGGGATGATATATCCAACAAAATAAAGTATAGTACCATATTTCTCAACGTTAGCAACTTTAAGATGTATGGACTCCAATTCCGAGAATTCTCCAACCAGCATGCATAGGGAAATTTTGAGAATTGAAATCCATGCATCTTAAAGTTGCTGAGATGGACAAACACTGATATAGTACATCAGACATGTCAAACTCATGATATCATGTGATGTCATGCAACGTATCAGAGCTTTTTTGCCATTGTCAGCAATGGGGTGGGCGTGTCCAGCCTGTGGACCGGCAGTTTGATGCCCCTGTAGTACATGAATCTAAGTTTTAAAAGAGTGTGCTGAAGTGCTGCTCATCCACAACAGATTTACTAATTGTTGGGAATTTGGAAAGAATGTACTTACTCAGAGGTAGAACTGACATTTATAAGTAACATCAAAGAATTAGCTCAATCAACTATTAAAATTCCATAAATTAATTAGATTATTTTAAATACACATATAGAAAACAGCAAGAGATAATAACAGTTCACTTTATGAAGCAGATAGCATAGCCACTCCATTTTGTATGCAACGGAAGACTACTTCTAACACTAATTCTGAATAGAATGACATACAGATTACAAGGGTGAGGAAAGAAAATGGCATTTACCAGCTGGGAGGATGAAAATATGGGACTTTATTAATGAAGTCCAATGTAGATTTTTACTCAAAAGATAGTTAAAATATTAGAAAAGTTTTGGATATTTTAGAATACCTAGAACAGTGATGGCGAACCTTTTAGAGATTGAGTGCCCAAACTTCAACCCAAAACCCACTTATGCATTGTTGGGTGCCAGGTGGGTGTGGCCCATTGGGTGGGAGTGGCCTAGTGGGTGGGTGTGACCCATTGGGTGGGTGTGGCTGCAGTGGTAACAGCAGACTGGGTGGGACTAAAAAGTTCAATCAATCAATTCCAACTTTGCAAGATCTTTTTTTTCCCGCAATAAGTTGAAATTGACTGATTGATTGAACCTTTTTTTTTTTTTTGCACATGGCAGTGGAGGCCTAAAGCAAAAAGGTTTTATAAAACCCAGCTGAAGGCCTAGGACTGGGCTGATGGTGTGCGTGCCCACAGAGAGGGCTCTGAGTGCCGCCTCTGGCACCCATGCCATAAGTTCACCACCACTAACCTAGAAGTTAGAACAATATAAAACAAGCTGCACTGATTGTTATAGATGCAAAAAAATTGAAAGATATGGACTTTATTGACAATTTTATTAAATGGATATGGACTGCTAAAGGGGATATGTTTTAATTTTTCAGATTTCTTTCTAGATCTTTTATTGGATCTTCAGAAAGTTATGCAAATTATGTTTACCTTTATCTGCCTATTGATGTCTGATTTGTCTGAATGCTAAGTCTCTTGGAATTCTCTAACATTTTGGGATTTGGTTTTGTCTAAAATGCTAATAGT